TTGGGGCGTCTTGAGGGCCTCTTGGGGGCCTCTTGGGGGCGTCTTGGGGGCCTCTTGGAGCCTCTTGGGGCCTCTGGGGGGCCTCTTGGGAGCCTCTTGGGGACCTCTTGGGGCCTCTTGGGGGCCTCTTGGGGGCCTCCCGGAGGCCTCTTGGGAGCCTCCTGGGGGCCTCTTGGGTCCATCTTGGAGCCTCTTGCGACCTCCTCAGAAGCGCAAATGAGCGCTTCCCCCTGATTTGACCAAAATGAGCCCAAAACGTTTTTGTAAAATCAATGATTTTGCTATGAAGGAAGGGGAGCGCGGCCCCCTCAGAAGGCCAAGAATGGGGCCAACACCGTAGTAAAATCAATGTTTTTTGCTTCAAAGACGAGCTGGGGCACCAAACCCCCCCCCCCCCCCCCTCGGGGCCAGAATCCTTGTGAGGGTCGTCGTTTTTTGGCCCTCCCAGACGTCGAAAAAAAAACCCACCTGACGACCCGCGGAACTCCCTCTACAGGTCCAGGGGGAGGGGGTAGGGGGAGGGGTAAACCCCTCCCCGAAGGGGAAGAAGGGGGTTTGAGGACAGAGAGAGCTCTCTAAACCACTCACGCCCAAAGGGCTGGTGGGATTTGAATCCGCCGTGGGTACCGACTGTGCTGGGCCCCCCAGCAGGCCTCGAAAGTGGCGACAGTTTCACAAATCGCAGCCCCCCAGGGTCCCATTTGAATCCGCCGTGGTACCCACTGTGCTGGGCCCCCCAGCAGCCCTCGAAAGTGGCGACAGTTTCACAATCGCAGCCCCCCAGGGATGGCGAGGTCCCATTTGAATCCCACTGCCCCCAGCAGCCCTCGAAAGTGGCGACAGTTTCACAGATCGCAGCCCCCCAGGGATGGCGATGTCTAATTTGAGGCCCCCTGTGCAGCAGGCCTCGAAAGTGGCGACAGTTTCACAGATCGCAGCCCCCCAGGGATGGCGAGTCAAACTTGATCTGCCGTGGGTACCCACTGTGCTGGGCCCCCCAGCAGGCCTCGAAAGTGGCGACAGTTTCACAGATCGCAGCCCCCCAGGGATGGCGAGGTCCCATTTGAATCCGCCGCGGGTGCACACTGTGCTGGGCCCCCCAGCAGGCCTCGAAAGTGGCGACAGTTTCACAGATCGCAGCCCCCCAGGGATGGCGAGGTCTAATTTGAATCCGCGGTGGGTCCACTGTGCTGGGCCCCCAGCAGGCCTCGAAAGTGGCGACAGTTTCACAGATCGCAGCCCCCCAGGGATGGCGAGGTCTGATTTGCATCCGCCGCGGGTGCAGACTGTGTTGGGCCCCCCACCAGGCCTCGAATCGAAAGTGGCGACAGTTTCACAGATCGCGGGCCCCCACGGATGGCAAGGTCTAGTTGGAATCCGCCGCGGGTGCAGACTGTGCAGGGCCCCCCAGCAGGCCTCGAAAGTGGCGACAGTTTCACAAATCGCATCCCCCCAGGGATGGCGAGGTCCCATTTGAATCCGCCGCGGGTGCAGACTGCGCTGGGCTCCCCAGCAGGCCTCGAAAGTTGCGACAGTTTCACATATCGCAGCCCCCCAGGGATGGCGAGGTCTACTTTGAATCCGCCGCGGGTGCAGACTGTGCTGGGCCTCCCAGCAGCCCTCGAAAGTGGCGACCGTTTCGCAGATCGCAGCCCCCCAGGGATGGCGAGGTCTAATTTGAATCCGCCGCGGGTGCAGATTGCGCTGGGCCCCCCAGCAGGCTTCGAAAGTTCGGTGGCGACAGTTTCGCAGATCGCGGGCCCCCCGGGGATGGCGAGGTCTAGTTTGAATCCGCCGCGGGTGCAGACTGTGCTGGGGACCCCAGCAGGCCTCGAAAGTGGCGACAGTTTCACAGATCGCATCCCCGCAGGGATGGCGAGGTTCCATTTGAATCCGCCGCGGGTGCAGACTGCGCTGGGCCCCCCAGCAGGCCTCGAAAGTGGCGACAGTTTCACAGATCACAGCCCCCCAGGGATGGCGAGGTCTAATTTGAATCCGCCGCGGGTGCAGACTGCGCTGGGCCCCCCAGCAGCCCTCGAAAGTGGCGACAGTTTCACAGATCGCAGCCCTGCAGGGATGGCGAGGTCTAGTTTGAATCCGCGGTGAGTGCCCACTGTGCTGGGCCCCCCAGCAGGCCTCGAAAGTGGCGACAGTTTCACAGATCGCAACCCCCCAGGGATGGCGAGGTCTAATTTGAATCCGCCGCGGGTGCGGACTGTGCTGGGCCCCCCAGCAGGCCTCGAAAGTGGCGACAGTTTCACAGATCGCAGCCCCCCAGGGATGGCGAGGTCTACTTTGAATCCGCCGCGGGTGCAGGCTGTGCTGGGCCCCCCAGCAGGCCTCGAAAGTGGCGACAGTTTCACAGATCGCATCCCCCCCAGGGATGGCGAGGTCTAATATGAATCCGCCGCGGGTGCAGACTGCGCTGGGCCCCCCAGCAGCCCTCGAAAGTGGCGACAGTTTCACAGATCGCCGCCCCCCAGGGATGGCGAGGTCTAATATGAATCCGCCGCGGGTGCAGACTGTGCTGGGCCCCCCAGCAGCCCTCGAAAGTGGCGACAGTTTCACAGATCACAGCCCCCCAGGGATGGCGAGGTCTAATTTGAACCCGCCGCGGGTGCAGACTGTACCGGGCCCCCCAGCAGGCCTCGAAAGTGGCGACAGTTTCACAGATCGCAGCCCCCCAGCTGGCACGCAGCGACGAGCGCGGCGAAAGGCAGGGGGGAAGAGAGGGACGGGAGGGGGTGGGAAGGAGACGCGCGAGCAGTGCTCTATTCAAAACGAGAACCCAACGCAGGAGGGTTGGGAACTATTGACGGAAAACGCAAATTAGTAAAAACTATTGCAAAAATTGTGAACACATCGTCCCCAGACTCTTTTTGGACTATTTTTGAATATTCCTCCTGTAGAGGGACACGCCCGACTTGAGGTTAGGGGTACTTCGGGGAGACGGCTTCTTGGAAGGAGGCTGCTTCTCAGAAGGCGCCAGCCCTACATTGATAGAGAAGGCCCGAGCTCCGTAAGAATCGGGTATAGCCAGGACCCCGGTTAAGGGGAGCCGGTTAGAGATTAGGCCCCGAAGTCCAAAATGTCGATTGGAATCACTGAACCAGGTCTGGCTTAGCTGTTATTTTTCGGGTGACAGCAGTTCGGGTCAGTGGAATGGGGCGGGGGGGGTGGCGTCCCCCGGCACACATCATTGAACCAGGTCCCGCTAAACCCAGCCTTGCCAACGCCCGAAAGAAGCAGGGGTGCTTCTAAGAAGCCTTCCTCCCTCACCCTACCCCCTTCTGCGCGTGACCGACCCCCTCCCCTCAAGGAGAGAGAGGATGGAGGCATCGGAGGAGGCGGTGGGGAGGGGTCGGGAGGAGGGGGGACAGAGGCGGCGGGCGGGAGAAGTCCGAGGCGGGAAGTCACACATGACCACTGCCTGGAGGGTCAGTTTTTGGAGCCTCGGCAGGCGGTGGATTCGGACTTATTCGGGCGCCCAGGGGCCGAAATACATCCATATCCACCGCCCGCGGAGGCACCAGGACATCGGTTCCCAGGCGGTGGATATGGATGAATGCCCGCCCCGCGAGGAGGAGGCGAGGAAGGAGGAGGAGAGGAGGAAGAGGCAGCGTGGCTGAGAGGCAGCGGCCGCCCTTCCTGGCGCGCTCTTTCGTCCCCTCTCTGTGGGCCTCCCGGGTGCCCCCCCCGGGGGGGGGGGAGGGGGGTGCGGCAGGAGCCGACCTCTTGGAGCGGAGGTGGGCAGGGCGGGGGAGCCGCCGTGTGATCTTTCCGCTGTCCCTCCTCCTCCTCCTCCTCCTCCTCCTCCTCCTCCTCCCCCCCTCCTCCCCCCTCCTCCTCCTTCCTCCTCCCCCTCCCCCTCCTCCTCTCCCTCCTCCTCCTCCTCCTCCTCCCTCCTCCTCCTCCCTCCTCCTCCTCCTCCTCCTCCTCCTCCTCTCCTCTCCTCCTCTCCTCCTCCTCCTCCTCCTCCTCCTCCTCCTCCCTCCTCCTCCTCCTCCTCCTCCTCCTCCTCCTCCTCCTCCTCCTTCCTCTCCTCCTCCTCCTCCTCTCCTCCTCCTCCTCCTTCCTCCTCTTCCTCCTCTCCTCCTCCTCCATCCTCCCCTCCTCCTCCCTCCTCCTCCTCCTCCTCCCTCCTCCCCTCCTCTCCTCCTCCTCTTTCTCTCTTCTCCTCCTCCTTCTTCCTCGTCCTCGTCCGCCTCCTCCTCCTTCCTCCTGCTCCGCCTCCTCCTTCCTCCTCTTCCCCCTCCCTCTGCATGAGGTCTATTTCGATCGGGTCGATGCGACTTGATGGCGGTTCGTGCCAGCGCGGTGCTTCCCCAGCGGTCGCTGAAAGGGGGTATTGTTGGACTCCCTGCTCCGGATCTGGTTTAACCGCCTTTCTACTTTCAGAGTCGCGTGGTTTTCCCTCTTCCCTCCTCTACAGCAGGCGGGCGAAAACCCAATATACTTTCATCGCCTGCGCAGTGTACGTCAGGCATTGCCGCGCAAGACGATTTGTAGAGCAAGACAGAGCAGCGCAAACCAGCGCAACACAAGGCGACGCAATGCATGCGAAGCACTGCAGAGCAGTGCGACGCAGAGCAGAGCAGAGCGCAGCGCAATGTAATGCTATGCTGGGCAGCGCACAGCAGCACAATGCGAAGCAACGCGAATTATCTGATCAGCAACATGAGTTTATCTTGGGAGCCAGGGGCCCCCCCGGGGAGCCCCAGGGGAACTCACAGGGAGGTTCCGAGGACCCGCCGGGAGGGCCGCATATCGCCATCGGCCCTCTTGCACGGAAGTGAGTCAAAACCCTTGGCTTGGCATCGCTCGGACGTGTGCATTTTTGCTTCGGCGAGGACCATCGAGGAGCATCCTTGATCATTTGGCGAGAAAACCACGCACGAAACAGAAAAAACACAAGGAATGAACGTCCGAGCGATGGCCAGTTTGTCAAAACCTGATTGAAAATACTGCACGCCTCACCCCAGATGCCCCCCACTTGTGAGGTGCAGAACGGCCTTCTGAACAAGTACGCGAGGCTCGTCAGCCAGGCCAACATCGGGTGCGTCACGGACAGGGATTAGGGCAACCCGCACATTGCGACTGTTTGCCCGAGTCCGCTTGGTAGGTTCCGGCGGCCTGAAGCCGAAGGTTCTCAACCCGAACATTATCACAGCCGTGTGCTCGGTAGTAAATCATGGAGGCCTGGTAAACCCTCTTAACTCTGTTTTTAGCGTCGACTGGTTTCGATTAGCGTCCGGGAGTCGATGAGATATCACCGATTCAGCGTAGGTTGGCGTCGATTCAGCGTCGATTCAGCGTCGATTAGCGTCGATTAGCGTCGATTCGCAAGAGCCGGCAAGATGGTGTGGGAGGCCCCCATGAGTTGCCACCGAAGGGTGTCGGCGAAAGTCGGTTGGCACTCCCCGTTTTGTGCAGCTGCTCGGTGCGTGGTGGAGCCATTTGAAAGCAAAAGTTCGCTCCGTCGAGCAGAGCCGACCGCGGCTCGGTCAATGTGGCCAGCGATCCGATCGAGGCGGTTCGATGCGCTTGCGATCGTGACCCTGCCGATCAGAGGAGGAAAAGGTACTCCAGATTGCGTAATACAAGGGAGGGGGTCACAACCCTCCCAGACCACAAGTTTTAGACCCCCCCAGACCATCCATGAAAGGGCGGCCCTTTGCCCAGACCCCTCCGAACCTTCCAAGACAGCTCAAATCAGACCCCCCCCCAAATGTGACCCCCCCGACTTTATTATGGAATCCGGAGTACCCATACCTCTACCCCTTCCTCGTTTTCTCTTTTTGGCGGGGGCCTCCTAGGCGGCCCTCGTCGCCACCGATGGATTCGCCTCGAAATCCTGGACGCGACCCAGTCAATCGAGGAAGAAAAACGCCATACTAAAAATAAACCGTTGGCGCTCCGCGCGGATTTCTTGGATCGGCGCCTGGGGCTTCCTGGCGGCGCCTCCGGCGCCGCCCCTGGCGCGCTCCGCGCGCCAAGGAGGGGGGCCCAGCACGGATCCAAGAAATCTGCGCGGTCCGTCAAAAGTTTGTGTTATGCCGTTTTTTCTCATTCCTATTCGCGGCGTGGGCCAGCGCGGCGTCCTGTCTTCAGGGGGTTGGCGCGAGGGCGCGACGAGAAATCGCGCACTGAGGGTGCGATGCGCGACGTCGGGTGGCCTGGGCAGCTCAGGATGTGAGGCTCCCGCGAGGCAAATCTCAGCAACGTCGCTGGCAGATCTGTGGTCATACTAATCCAGCCTGGTCTCGCCCAATCCCGTGTAGTCCAGCTCAATAGTGATCGTTCTTTTATTATTTTTTTTTGCTTTCGGCGGAACCCCCCCCCCCCCGTAGAGAAGTTATGGGCTGATTTTGGCATTACGCAACCGGTATTACCGGTTTCGTAATCCTGGGCTTGGTCAGGCCAGATCCAGTCTCATGGTTCGGGTCGGGTCGGACCAGACCCAGTTCCTTGGGTATACTATATGTTCGGGTCGGACGCGCGTCTCCAAGGAGTACATCTGGTATTAGTATGTCTCTGTGCGTCCTATACGGGGTCCCCAGAGCTCTGGAACACTTCCCGGGGACCAGTGTCTCGTCCTTGACCCGTATTTGATGATCCCGGGGCCGTGCGGGGGCCCCCAGATGCCGAAAACGAGAAATGCATGCCGTCTTGATTTTTCTCATGTGTTCAAGGTTTGGGTTAGGCAGGGCTCATTTCGATTCCCCCGATTCGATTCGATTCGATTTCGATGGATTCTGATTCCGATTCGATTCGATTTGGGATTCGGGTCCCGATTTCTCACTGGACGCATACAGGCCTGCCGATTTCTGCCGATTCTATTTTTTTCCGACTCGGCTGCCGATTTCCACCGATCCGATTCATGTCGATTGCCGATCCGACTTACCGATTCGATTTTGGGCTCTCCTGCTTAGGTGACCTGAGTAACGTTGCGTACCACTTCCGCCCACGCTTGGACAAAGGGGTCCAGAGGCGGGTGGCGCTTCTGGCGGTGCCTAAAAGGAGAGGGCCCGGCCAATGCGTCTTGGCGACGTGCGGCCGTATTGGAAGAGCCGCGGCACATTTCGAACACGACAGAGGGAAGGGGACGAGGGACGAGGGCAGGGAAGCGATGCCGACAAGGCGGCAAACGACCCGAGGGTACTGTCAATATTGATAGTAGGCATGATCGACTTCCCACTGGTACCCTTGTATCCTTGCCTCCCCAGTCATCTCAGGTTCATCCTCCGACCACTTTCGATGGCCGTCCCCGCTCCGAGAGCTTCTGCATCCTTGTCGCGCATCCTTACAGTCAACCAGCATAGTGCCCGCATAGTGAGGGTGGGCAACCTTCCCAAGGGTACCACTGCAGGAAAACAACACAGTACCTTCCCAAGGGTGCCATTGCGGGTGTGTTTTTGTTCCCACAGTGTGTTTTGTGTGTGTGTGTGTTTTTTTTGTGTGTGTGTGTGTGTGTTTGTGTTTTTTTTGTGTGTGTGTGTTTTCCCACGTGTGTGTTTTGTGTGTGTGTGTGTCTTTCTCCCACAGTGTGTGTTTTTTTTTTCCTTGCCTCCTCTGTCAACCCTCGGCCACCCTCGTTGGCCGCGCTCCGCCCGAGAGGCTGCGACACGGGCGCCCAAGGCCCTTAGGCCCCTGCATCCTTCCCGCGCATCCCGCTGCGGGCCGACTCTCGAGCGTGTGCATTGTCCTTTCGGCGAGGACCATCGAGGAGCACCCGTGGGAAAAAAACACACAAAAAGCACAACAAAACACAGACACAACAACACACACACACACTCACACACACACACAACAAACAGCACAAACAACATACCAACAAACAGACAAACACACACACACGCACGCACGCACGCAAGCACGCACACACACACGCACGCGCGCACGCAACGCACGCACACACACACACACACACTTTCACACACACACACACACACACACACACACACGCACACGCACACGCACACGCACAAACACGCACACGCACACGCACACGCACACGCACACGCACACGCACACGCACACGCACACGCACACGCACACGCACACGCACACGCACACGCACACGCACACGCACACGCACACGCACACGCACACGCACACGCACACGCACACGCACACGCACACACACCCACACACCACACCCACACCCACACCCACACGCACACGCACACGCACACGCACACGCACACGCACACCCACACGCACACGCACACGCACACACGCACACGCACACACACACACACACACACACATCATTTGGCGAAAAAACACGCACGAAACAGAACAAAAACAGGGAATGGACGTCCGAGCGATGGCCGGCTTCGACTGCAGCGCCGAGCCGCGCCGCCCGCGATCCGCGCGGCGCCCGGGGCGTTGGCGGGGCGGTCGGCAGGCTCCTCCGCCGTGGGCCGCTGGAGGCCGGCCTGGCCGCACGGCGCGGGCCTCGGGCGCCGCCGCTGGGAGGGGGGGGAGGGGCAGGGCGCCTCCTCCTCCTCCCCCCCCTCCCCCTCCCTCCTCCCCCTCTCCTCCTCCTCCTCCCCTCCCCCTCCTCCTCCTCCTCCTCCTCCCTCCTCCTCCTCCTCCTCCTCCTCCTCCCCCTCCTCCTCCGCCCTCCCTCCTCCTCCTCCTCCCCTCCTCCTCCTTCTCCTCCTCCTCCTCCTCCTCCCCCTCCGCCGCGGACGGCACGGGTGGGTGGAGACGGGCGCTAATTTGGAGGTGGCTTTGCCCCTCTGCACAAAAGGCGCCTTCGAGGGCGCGAAGGTATTCGGGCTTCGCGCTTCGGCCCCGATGCCTCGCCCTCCTCTTCCCCCCTGGGAGGCGGCGCGAGGGCGCGAAGTTCTTCGCACTTGGCCCTTCGCGCAGCGCGAGGCGCGAAGTTGGGAGCCCTTGCGACAGGGGGAATCTTCAAAATGAGTCCACCAAACAGTCTGGGGGGGGGGCTATTTTTCGCGCATGTTTGGGGCATCTTTTGAGCATTGTTCGGGTAGTTCTTTGTTTTTCCCCACATCCAAAGTGGGGTTCTTGTTTTCTCTGGACACCCCGCGCAGGAACACTCACCCCCTCTTCTCCTCGCACTCATTCACACACACATCATCATCACTCGCACTCTCTCACACGCTCACGAACATCATCGTCATCATCGGTATCGGCATCATCCTCATTCAAACATCATCATCGCCACCACCACCCACAATCAATCATCATCCTCTTCACCACTCATCTTCACCACCACTCATCATCCTCATCCTCATCATCGTTGAGTAAAGTGTGAGGAAGTCTCAGGCGGGAGCCCCCTCCCTATGGGGCCCGCAGATCATGTTGGTAATCCGAGCGGGTCATCGGAAACCCTGTAACTGTCGTCACTTTTGGGCTCCCCAGGCCTGAAAATGGAGGAAGTCTCAGGCGGGAGCCTCGTCTGTGAGTGAATTGGGAGGAAGTCTCAGGCGGGAGCTCCCTCCCTATGGGGCCCGCAGATTATGTTGGTAATCCGAGCGGGTCATCGGAACCCTGTAACTGTCGTCACTTTTGGGCTCCTCAAGCCTGAATATGGAGGAAGTCTCAGGCGGGAGCCTCGTCTGTGAGTGAATGCGAGGAAGTCTCAGGCGGGAGCCCCCTCCCTATGGGGCCCGCAGATCATGTTGGTAATCCGAGCGGGTCATCGGAACCCTGTAACTGTCGTCACTTTTGGGCTCGTCAAGCCTGAATTTGGAGGAAGTCTCTGGCGGGAGCCTCGTCTTTGAGTGAATTGCGAAGAAGTCTCAGGCGGGAGCCCCCTCCCTATGGGGCCCGCAGATCATGTTGGTAATCCGAGCGGGTCATCGGAACCCTGTAACTGTCGTCACTTTTGGGCTCCTCAAGCCTGAATATGGAGGAAGTCTCAGGCGGGAGCCTCGTCTGTGAGTGAACTGCGAGGAAGTCTCAGGCGGGAGCCCCCTCCCTATGGGGCCCGCAGATCATGTTGGTAATCCGAGCGGGTCATCGGAACCCTGTAACTGTCGTCGCTTTTGGGCCCGTCAAGCCTGAATTTGGAGGAAGTCTCTGGCGGGAGCCTCGTCTTTGAGTGAATTGTGAAGAAGTCTCAGGCGGGAGCCTCCTCCCTATGGGGCCCGCAGATCATGTTGGTAATCCGAGCGGGTCATCGGAACCCTGTAACTGTCGTCACTTTTGGGCTCCTCAAGCCTGAATATGGAGGAAGTCTCAGGCGGGAGCCTCGTCTGTGAGTGAACTGCGAGGAAGTCTCAGGCGGGAGCCCCCTCCCTATGGGGCCCGCAGATCATGTTGGTAATCCGAGCAGGTCATCCAAAACCTGTAACTGTCGTCAATGTTGGGTTCTCGCGCTGCCAGAACGCAGTTCCCAGGCCACACTTTGGATGCAACAAGGAAGTTTTTGGGCTCCTCAGGTCGCCGAGGTGCTGCGACAGGGCGCCGAAGGCGCCGACGACGACGGCCAGGCCGAGGCGCGGGCGCGGAGCTTGCTGATGTTCAGGCCCAGCGAAAGGGAGTTCACATGGCAGAGCTCGGGGGCGCACAGCGTGCGCCGCTCGGGGTTCACC